CCTGCTGAAATGTGAACAGGACAACCAATTAGGAGTATTTATGATAAACCAATTAATGATATTTATTGTGGAGCACTAACTGGAGGGGTGCTCATTAACACCATTCTGTGCTAATACCGGTCCCCAGGTATTTGTTTCATTTGCTTTCAGGCATGTTTTGCCACACAAAGAACACATCTTTGTCCTATTCTCTTCCCTCTTGCAGTTGTATTTACATTCCTACTTTGAAAGTATGGCCAAAGCCTTTCCCCTATGTTCTGAAGTTGGATTAATCCTAAGCCTTTATGTGTGCCTTCCTGAAGGTGTTCTTTTCAGCAAGCTTGGTTAGTGCTGTGTGTTCACAGTGGAGGCAGAAGCAGCGGTGCCGTGCCCTTCCTTCTCGTATGCCCCCACATCCTCCTCTTCAACAACCCTCAGGGTGGAGGAAAGAAAACTGTGTACTGTTTAGTGTTCTGCATGTAGCACAGGTCTGAATGTAGTGTTCTCTTATTTAATGTGTCCTTTTGCTCACTAAGGAATAGCTGCACCTCAGTTAATTAGTCTACCAAGACAGACTGTACATTATTATTTATAAACTAAGTTGCTTTGGGATGATAACACTGCTGCAATGCAGTGAAATGAGAAAAAAACCCAACTTTTGAACATTATGTTCACATATATATGTGTGTGAGACACACAGGCTTCTCCCATGCCTCTCGTCCTCAGATACTACTAATTTTCTGTTCTTTTTTGACATCATACAAAACAGTGAGCCCTGGAGACAGCAGGGCTATGGTGCTTAATTCCTCTCCCTTCCTAGCCCCTTGGAGTAAGTTTTGGTTTGGAAAATGGGAATAGATGAAGCTGTGGGAAATTGTGTTTCTGTCCCTGATTAGAGGAAAAGCTACCTTTAAAATTGTCATGTAGGCTAATATACTCATTGTGTGAATCTGTAGTCTGGGAAGACATTCACCAGTGTGCTGTAGTTTCCCCCACTAACAAAAATAAGCATTGCAATTTCAATGCCATTTCCCAGTTTTTGGGCTAGTCCTTGGCTTTCTTCCCAAACAGCTCTGTGAACTCTGAGCTGAGGATGTCTTTCAGTGCCTCTGCCTATGTCTATTTGTTCCAGCTACTGGACCTTTTTAAGTTCTGGGAGATGCTGCATCTCCCCATTTCTCTACCAGATTCATTTCTTTTGGCTCCAGTAGGCTTAGTACTTGGAGTAGTGCTGAATGCCTGATTACTTGCTATAGTTCCAGGGAAGGTAGACGATGAGTTTTCAGACTGTTTCTGTTTTGTTCTTGTTTTCCCCTTTTTCATTTTCATATAGTCATAGGGATTTTTCAGTCTTTCTCTCTGTGCCCTGTTCCTCCATGGAGGTAGTGTTTTTGGAAAATTCTCCCAGATCCAATGAATCAGTCACTGAAACTATGAAGGAAGATTCTGCTCTGTTTACAGCATAGCCCAGTTTTGAGGAAACAGTAACTAGTCTTACTCCTCTGTTGTCTTTATGTATGCACACAGAAGGATGAAGAGCACAGCCAGCATGTCATTGCAGCATAGAAAACAGTGAAATATTGAATGTGGCAGGACTGGAGAGTCAAACAGCTACTTGTGCACTTTGCATTTGCAGCACATGTGGTTTGTGTGCATCGTAACGATATTGGAATGTACAGGACAGTGTATAGGCATGACTGATAGAGAAGGAGCACTTGTTTACTGGGATTCATGTAAGAATAATATTATAGTTTTAAGAGTAGGACAACAGTAATGGACGTAATATTCTCTTTGCTTTTATTCTTTAGAAAAATAAGTGTCGAAGGATGATTGATTAAATGTTACCTGGTTTAAGGCATTTAAAATGGTTAGGTGGTTTTACATATAGGCCACAGAATTTTGCAAAATACATAAATATTCGTAAATATATTCTAGAGCAATTCTTTCCACTTGCAGCCTTTAATTTTTCTCTACACATACTTTGCTGTCTTTCTTTTCTTCTTTTTCTTTGCTTAATATGTAGAGGAGTTGTCTTCCTGTCATCTTAGCTTCTTTCTTTGTTGATGTAAAAGCATAAATTATTCCTAGTGCAGTTCTTCCTTAAACATTCCTTGTATGCTGATAGGCTTAGGTGAGATGGGATCACCAGGAGAATGGATGACTCAGGCTTCTACACTGACTCAACAGTCACAATGAGTAGATTCATGTACTTTTGGCATGTAGGTACAAGCTGTCACTTCATTTCACAGAGTTTTGTTGATGAGATTTTCCAGAAGTAATTCAAGCATAATGAAGTATTAGTGTGACCTATTATATGGTCTGCTTGGGTGTAGGTTATGATGGAAAAGGTACCGATACTGTTACCTGCTTTTGCTGTGCTATATTTGCAGTTAGAAAACAGCCTTGGAATGCCTTTAATGTTTGTATTTTTATCAGTTCCTTTTTGAATAATATGTCAATAATGCCAACTGGATGTGTTTAAATATATAACATGTAGCTGGCCACTTCCACAGCCATGTAATGTTTTGCTTTGTCCAAAGTGTGTTGACTATTTTTTGAGAAGACCTAAGATTTTCAGAGATACTGCCAGTAAAATAGTACCAAGGGCAGTAATGCCATGTGGGGCTCTGGAACTTGCCAGGCTATGAACAGGATATAAAAAACCTTCTTGTTTCTTTGGCATCAGCTTAAAAGTAGTCCTTATGTTGTGTTAAATAGTTCAGTTGGGCTGTTTTTAAGGGAAGTGATACACTGTGCTCAAACTGACAAATTCTGTGTCACACCAAATCGTTTCTCTGCCAGCATCAACCTTACTGAATATCCTCTCAAACTGAAGAATAGTTGTGAACAGCAGTAACCCAATGTCACAATCGAGATAAAGTAGGCACAGGTTTTGTTTAATTTCATTTATCTTTCTGCCCTGGGATTTTCTGAAGAGTTCTGGTACTTTGTGCTGATACTCCCCATTGGAGAGGTATAGATGAATTATCTTCATGTTGACTCCACCCACTGAAATTCTAGATTGTGTTATTATGCTGCCTTGCAGGAAAATGATCTAATGACTGGGTTGCCCTACTATCATAGAAATTGTCTCCTATGCTCAGATATCACCAAGTGCAAATCTGCTTCCTATTGTTAAAGGTTTGTCAATAGGATAAAAGCCTGCACTCTTGGAATTAGTCACACCTAGTTAATGTATTTGAGACATCCCACAAGTAAATAAAATTAATATTTATGGGGGATTTACCTCCATTCAACATGCACTTGTACTTTTTACAAGAGTTGAGCTGCTGGGTTCCTGCCAGAGTCACTGGTGGAGTTTTGGGGAGATTTATTTCCTAAGTTTCCTGTCTCTGTTTTACCTTTCTTTTTCCCTTCTTCCCTTTTATTCTTATCCCACTTGTACCACCAGATTATGATAGGGTCAGTTTGAGATTGTCTACCAAGAGATTACATTGCAAGTTTGGGCTAAAGCAAAAACTTCAAAATGCTTTCACTGTAGTGTCTTCCTTACTGAAGAATGTAGGGTGAATGGGTTTTGCTTTTAAGCCAGTGCATGCCTCATTAGTCTACATCCCTTCTGCAGAACAGCTGGTGGTGCACTTGTTTCTTTCCTCCTTTTCGATTTCTTTGGTGCTTTCATCCTTTTGGTTAGAAAGGATGAGGTATATTAGTCTAAAGAGTCAACTCAGTCACCTGCATGAGTGAGCCCAGGATAACAGTGAATTATTAAACAAGAGCTGAATTTCTCTGTACTCGTTAGCTAGAATAAGTTTTAATAGTGATGTCACATAGCCATAATACAACTATTCTTCTAATTTATATGCCAGTCTAACAAAAGAATTGGTTATTTTGCTGTCTGCTTTTAGGTATGTAGATTTTTACTCAGTGTTTAATTCTACTAAAACGTTCCTAATGTAGTATCAGACTGTATAAACTAACCTAATCACTGAGAGCATTTAACTGGTTTAGAATGTGTTTAAAATGGTTGTGTACTGTGAAAATTGTCAGACGAGATGATCAAATTAGGCTGCTAAGGGAGATTTCGTGGCAAATGAAATGAGTGCTTATGTAAAATTACCTACTGTTGTAGTGTGTGTAAGTGTGCATATGCGCACGCACATTCATATACTGGAGCTGATGAGCCTCTGGCAGGGAGCTTTGCAGAAGCTGCAAGTATTTTTAGTGGAAACGAAATCTCAGTTCAGTGCTGCAGCATGTGACTTCCTATTTCTGTAAGTTACTTCCAAGGGACTTCCTCTGTTAAATCGGCTTGTCTCTAGAGATCTGATCTGGAGCTGGAGCGTAGTCTGCTTTGTCCTGTGCCTGTGCCAGCATTTTCCCAGAGTTTTCTTTCGAGAATTTCATTTTTATTTTGTCCTGTCTCCAGCATGCAAGGATCTTGTGGCTGCTACCCGTGATCGGAAGCTGAATACATTCATACAAGTCTCAGTGGTACATCCAGCAGAGCACATTTTGACGAGGTATTCAAGCACTGAAATCGTGGAGGTGAGAGTCTTTCTTATTCAATTAATATGTTGATTAATAAATCGCACATTTCTTCCTTAGAAAGGGAATGAGAAATAAAACAAGTTAGTGCATAGTCTTGGGTAAGGCAAGCACACTCTGGCAGTTAGTAAAGCATACCTAAGAGTGTTCTGTAGTTCTTGGAATTTAACCAGTATAAACAGTTAGAAATGAACTTGGCTTTTCATTAAAGCTCTGTTGTTCCAAGTAGAGACATAGAGAATACTCCAGTTCTCCAGACATAAGTCTAGAATGAAACAGGGAATAGTTGCTTTCATGAAAGAAGAAGGCAATGCAAAGTAAAACTAAATTAAGAGTGCGGTGAGTTGGTAAAGTATTTTTAAATTACAGAAGAACATAGATGTATTATATGGTCTGTTATCCTGTTTGTTGTTCTATGTTTTTCCATTGGAAAGTTGATACTTTCACAATTTCTAGAAGTAGCCTAATATTTTTTAGTTGGGGAAAAGAGTGTGTGTATGTAAGGTCTGTGACTTTGTATAAAATAATTAGTGTCTTGCACATATTATAGCAAAAGTTGTCCGAGGCTGCTTTGCTGGTCTTTGCTTTGCCCTATAAGCATGAATGTCAGAACCAGCAAAAATAGTTCACAGAGAAAATTAAGTGTGAGCAGGCAATGTAGGTGTAACTTGTTTAACTTACTGGAGAAACTCATTAAGAAGAGGGAAGTCTTACTGTAAACACACACATGATTTTGCCAAAGGCTTCTTTTAACTGTTAAATACAGTGGAAATATTTCATGAGCTCTTTGTGTGATCAGTTTCAACCAACTACTAATTAAATTGTTATAGTTTCAGCCATCAAGCATCCTGAAACTGCTTAATTCAAATATCTTGTGTCTGATCAGGATGTTTCATTGCAGGCTGACTGCAATGATGTTGTGCAGAAGATGGAATAGATTTAGATTTTCTTAATAGAAGTTGATGCATTTCCTAACACAATGTCCTTGATCTGAATAAATCCCTGAATTTGTTGTGTCAAGGCTCTCAGCTTCACAGTCAGGCTTTGGGGGAGGGGGAAGGCAGGGACACAGAAAAGGTATTTTCTACAGAAATTTAAGGATACTAGCCTGGTAATCTTTGGAAATTAAGTATAATTAAACATTAAGAAATTATAAACACCGTTTTATATGATTCATTTAATTGTTTGTATATTTGAAGCTGTGATATAGTTACCTCCTTGTACAGCTTTTAGATATAATGATGTTATAAAACGCAGGAATGTTGTCTTGCTCCACTACTGTCTAACAGGGGTAGTGTAATCCCCTCCCCACAAATCAGTATGCTTAATGTAATACAGGGAGTCTCCATAGCATTTTGTAGACATTGTGATTTAATGAAGGTCTCTGGTTTTTTTTTTGTGTGTGTGTGTAAGTTTTATCTTTAGGTTATTTAAATTAATATGAAACCATGGTACTTTCAGAGAGTATCATGAGAGAAAGAAAGGGATGGTTTATTATAAGTTGTATTCCAGATACTGACTCCTGCTGGCTGAGCTGTTTAAAGGCATGTTGTTAGTCTCTGTTTCAGAAGCACTTGATATCTCTTCTAGTTAAAAAACTTCCCAGAAAGTTATTTGAAACTTCCCTGACAAAGTTTTAAAGTTCTCCAGTTTTCTTACTGGTTAGATGGTACTTAGATGTTCAGATCTCTCTGCTGTAGAACCAAAGTTCTTTTAAAGAGCCCACAGTTTCTGTACATCTGCACTGGCATACTACACATTGCATAGCTGTTACCTTACTGAATGCTTACTCATGTTTCACAGGGTACAAAAGATCCGCTGTTTTTGACTGGTGTGACATTCCCACCGGAATACCCTATCTATGAGGAGACTAAAATAAAACTAACGGTCTATGATGTCAAAGATAAATCTCAAGACACGGTAAGTGCTTTGCTTAATTTCTTGCATAAATATTACGGAGGATTAAGTTTCTTGCCATGTTGTTCTTTGGCTCTCTTTAGCAAGTTTGAAAATTGGGGAAGTAGATTTATGTGAATTGGTTTTGCTCTTCTTTTATTCTTAAAATGTACTTTATTTTTTGTTGTTATGTTAGAGACTAGAAAAAGAGAACCAGGCTTATGAAGGACCCTTTGCTGTTGTTTAATTGGTTACATGAATCAGCACAGGAATTTCTGGCAAATAAAAGATTACTCTTCTGTGCTTTTTGATGGCAGAGAACATACGGAATAGAGTAAGATAACACCACTGTGAATAACTTTTCAGAAATATGATTCTGATAATATATTTACCCACAGAAGAATGATAATACAGCCTGTAACCTGATGTTGGAGAGAGATAATCATATTTTATTTTAATCTCTTGTGTGATGATACCTGCAGGTCTGCTGTGCCTGCTGCTATTACTGGTTTGTAAGGGTCCAAGGTCTTGTGTGTCAGTGCTAAAAGTGAATCATTCTGAGTTCCAGTGTTGCATATTTTTGGTTACACTGTCAGCTTTTTGTGCTGAGAAACAGTTACTCTCTTGAGATGACATATGGAGGTCAACAGGACTGTTTGAGTGATCTAACTGCTAAATATAGGCCTTGAGTGCCATTTCATGTGCTCCAGGTGATCTAAGGCAGCCTTATAGAGCTAGAAGATATCACAGGACCTATGGGAGATGTGTGTTTTTCTTCTGTGCAGCTGGAGTCCAGCTGATAGTTTTCTCATGGGCATCAAAAATGGCCCTTGATACCTGTATTCAATTTGCTGAGTTGCCCTTTACATATCTGTAGTTGGCTCCCAGTATGATTAAGGACTGTGCAAACTCATGTCATGACTGTATATGCGTTCCTTATCCATAAGAAGGAAATTAAAGGCATAACTTACAACTTGAGGTTATCTTTGAACTGCTTACAAAAGTAAAGTTGTATGGTTAGAGGACTTTTAATGTTTTACAGGTAGAAAATAGTTGATATATTTGTTTATATTTTGGACCTTTGTGAGCAAACAGGTTGGATCTGTCTCCTCACTAATTTTTTTTTTTAATGGGAATATGTGGAATATTTTAGATGTAAAATCTGCATTTCTTTTGGTTTAGAGGCTAAGTTATATTTTCTGTTTAAGAATAACAAGAGAAGAGGCATGTATACACATTTTCACAGTGTGTATGTTTTAGTTTTTGGTTATGATTTAAGACTACAGGGGCTTAAAATAACATCTGCTGTTTGTTCAATAGAGTTGTCACCCATGGAGAGATAGGGGAATTGGGTTACAGACAGATGATAGAAAATAAAATCTCATCTGTAAGCAAAAAAAGTGGACTTGATTCATAGTTATCCCTGTACTACTACTCTTCTAGTGGCAGATCTCTATATTGCTTCTTACACAGGACAAGACCTAGCCTAGAGAATGAATATAGTTTGAAAAGGTTTTGAAAACTTTTAAGGACTACTTATAACTGTTCGTTAAAATTGTAATATAGGCGTAAAGTCTGTCCCAGAGAATGCTAGTAACATAGCTTGTAAGTCACAAGAGAGATACCTTTTTCTTTTTTTCGTAGCAGTTATGTAGTTCCTATGTAAAACATTCCAGATCTATAGTTTATAGTACTTTTTTATAAGGAAAAATGTTAATACTTAGCCATCTTAAAAGTGGGTATAGGTAAGAAAAAATTAAATAAGCTGTAAGATTTAAATCAAGGTAGATTTCACCAAGTATGTGATCCCAGGCTGTGACTCCATTTGTGCCAATATTTGGATTCCTGTTTTCATCCTAGTATATCAGTAATGATGTAACTAATAACTTGACTTTCTTTCCTATAATTGGAAGCCATTGCATTTTTCTATTAATTTAGGTGACTTTTTTGAGTCTGGAGGTGTATACAGATTTGCGAAAGTCAGGTTTAAATCTGCTACAGCTTGATACCATTACCAGGATAGCTGCAGCTGCACAGACCTTGATGGTAGCTTCATGACCCAAGAAATGGCATGTGTCCCTTTGGCAGTAAGCCTGTTTCAAGTGCTGCGTCTTCAGAGTTCTGATGATCCAGGCTACAGTAAAGCTGGCTTTCTTGTTTCTCAAAAATTGCTGCCACAGCTTATGGCCGCAACATGCAGCCCCACCATTTCTTAGATAGGTAATACTTCGGTGTGGAGGGGAATCCAGGACTGTTAAGTTACTTTACTCTTCTACACGATGCTTCCATACCAGTTACTAGCTCATACAAGTGAGCATTTATGGCAGAATAAACTTGGAATCTGACAATTGCAAAATATTTTGCAAAAATTGGGCAGCAAGCTACAATAATAGGAATTTCCACAATGTCAGAGCTGCACTAAATCTGGTTAGTTCAGTTAACCAGTTCAAGTACCTAATATCCTTCATCACAAATGTATGCTTATTCTTTTCTTTTTTCCCTTGTAGTTAAAATGAAACTAAAGGAAGTGCATTGTGTGTGTTAAACTCAGCAGGATTTTACTACCACAAATAGAAGGCTGTAGAGAAGGCAGGGAAAGGGCAGTGGGTGCATCACAGGGTGAAGTAATTTCTTGTTTTTTACCTAAACCTACCTCTGTCCATATAAAAGAATTTGGTCTTATTTTCAAACCCACTGGATTTGTAGTATAATAAAAAAAAGAATTAAATACTGCTCAGTTTGTATACACTGGTCATAATGCTAAAGGGAAAGGGGATGCTTCCCTGGGAGATACAACCAGAGTTTTGTTTTGGCAAGGCTGACATGCAATGTGAATAGAAAGTTTTAATAAAGAATATGCTATTCCTACTTTACTTTTATATATTTGGAATAAAGAAGCTAATAGAGTGTGTTATGAAGTAAAATTTAAATACATCCAGTGAAGCCATGCATACAAAGCAGTGGGTAATGCCATATTCTGAAAAATGTATACTGACATCTGTTTCTACATCACAAAGATTTTCTTTCCATATTGCCTTCAGCAAATTTATGTTTCACCAGCTTGAGCTGCACTGTCTTTAAGATTTTGGATAGTTGAGTTTCATTGTAATGATGGGACTACACCTGTTCTTTAAGTCATTGTCCAAGAAAATAGGAATTAGAGACTCATACGTTGTTAAAATATTACTTTTGTACCACTTTTGCACAGGCGTGCTATTCTTGTCTTTCCTATAAGCATGCAAGTTTGGTCTAGCAAGTTTTAAAGCTGAAGCCAGATTCATTCTCTTTGAAAATACTGCATAGCACAAATTGGGTACCACTGCCACATGACAGACTCACAGGAAATACAGAAGAGATGAATTTGTGTTACATTAAGCTGAGAGAATGCTTAGCGACTAATTTAGGAGGGAGCAGTCTTTCTGTTCTGTGTTTAGAATATATATACTTGTGTCCTGCAGCAAGCATTCTGAAATTCATTGTGTTGAGCAGCGTGGCTATATTTTTAGGCAAGTACTGTAACATTTAGCTCTGGTGAGACTTTTGTTTGCTTGTTTTCCAAGATTGGTTCTTCTGTTGCCTCATCTGCATCTTATATTTTTATTTCACCGACTTTTCTATCTGTAAAGTGGGTTTGAAAAATGTTTGTGTCTTGTATGGTGGGATTATGTGTGTTTTAATGCAACAAAATCTTGTTGTAAAAGCTGCTGTTGTTGATAACTTTCCGTGTCTGGTCTTTGCATCACCCCTTCACAGATTCCCCTTATTTTCAAGAGGAGACAGAGACTTCATACCCTAACTAGGGTTACTGATTTAATGGATGTCTTTGCTGTTTATCCTAAAGACCCAGTAGGTAGATATAATCTTTGGATGGATATAAGTACTGGAATTCACATGTGACATTCTAGATATGAACAGCCACTCTAATGCAATCTCCTGAGAGCAAGGAGAAATGGGATGTATGATAGTCAGTTGAAATATTTACACATTCTACAGTCTGGTCATGCATTTGTTACTTCCCTAATTTTCTCTTAATTGCTGAGAATAAAATTAGATGAATTTTGTAATTTTAAGAGTAGGAGGAATATAAGTGAGTTTCGGATATGGAAACATAAAGTGAAAATTTAGATTATTTAGGCTTCAAATTACATGTCTTTTAACTGGTGAGATTTGAATCTTCTATTAAACTTTCTCACTATGAATTGAAAATTTGCAAAATATTTTTCTTTGCATTCTTCTTCACATTGCAAGTATTCCTGTTAAAATGGAATCACACTGGAGCGAGCGGAAAATGAAGACTGCCTGTCATGAAAAGATGCATTTTGAGTCTGGTTGTGAAGCCAAATCTGAAGTGACAGCATTCCACGTTCCCTCATGGGCATTAATCTGTTCCATAAAACCACCACGCAGTTCAGTGTGGTTTGCCATCTCTGCTGAAGAGGCCCCACAGCTTGAATATTAGGAACGCTGTAGAGCAGGATGTGAAATGCATTAGCAGAGAGAAATGTGAAAGCTTATGCATCACCTACCTGCACTCTGCCTGTACTGGAGTGCTCTCAGTCCCTCCCTCTTGTCAGTGCTAAAACTACTCCAGCTGTTTTTCTTTTTCTTTAAAACTTGAAGTGGTGCTGAAAGTGCTTGACTTTGTTTAAAAAAAAACAACACTTAATTCCTCCTTTTCTCAGTTCCGGTCACTGTCATCTCTGCAGGATTTGTAGGAAAATATCGCCTTAAATTAGAAACTCTTAATATCTCATTCTTCTTAATAGAGCAGTGCTGTATAGTACCACAGTCCTACCAAGAGAAACACTTGCAGTAAAACTTCAGGTGTTCGTGTGTCTCTTCAACGTCATGTAATTTATTTATTTATTTATTTCCCCACAAATGCATATGTGCTGATAGAAGTAGTTTTGCTTTTGCATCAGACTATAGGTTCTTACTAAATGCTATTATTAGAGATATTGGGGGGGAGAGATATCTTTTTATTCTTCTGGGCACATGCATATGGAATCCACCTAAAGTAGTATTTGTCAGTCTTTCTCAGAATTTTTAAGAAGTCTGGATACATAAAGGGAAATTCAAACTATTGACTTTCATTTGGGCTTATATTGAAATAAAATCTTTCTTTGAAGTGGCTGAGGGTACAAATAAGTTTTCGTGTATCTGTAAGAGAACTGGGGATAAGTGTCAAGACCAGGAAAGTTACAGGTATAGACTTAAAGTCTATTTGTTGCCTTACTGCTCTTTGTGCCTAGCCCTTGAAAATTCCATGGGAGGATTTGACTTTCTAAAAATCTTTCTCTCTTTGAAAGCATTCTACTTTTCATCCTACTCTTCCTCATACCCTCTTACTTTTTCCTAATTGAGGCAAACTCCTCCCTATTGCTATATCTGCAGGGAAAGTTGTAATCTACTATTTGTTGATTTTCCATTTTCTTTTCCTTTTCTACCTGCTCTGTCAATCAAGTGTTACTGCTGCCTGACATCAGGCAAAGGTTTGCTCCAAGAGCTGACATTTTGGAAAACTGTCGTAAAACTACATAGTGATGAGACCAATTGTATTCTATAAAAATATGAAGGGTTGCCTTGGAAATTGCTTAGAAATAAGAGAACCAAGTAGTAAAAGAATGTTTCCCTGTAGATTTTTATTTTAACCAGCTAAGGGTTTCAGTAACATAGATGTGATTGTTCTAATCTCTATAGCACTGTCCAAAAAGTTTGCAAATGTATCATTTTTCCATGAGTACTTGTGTATGCATTATTGATA